TTCCAGACAGGGTTTCTCTGTGTAGCTCTGGCTGTCCTGGAACTCACTCTGTAGACCAGGCTGGCCTCGAACTCAGAAATCCTCCTGCCTCTGCCTCCCAAGTGCTGGGATTAAAGGCCTGCACCACCACTGCCTGGCGAAGCACGGTTTTATGTAAAACAAATTGTTAACAACTGCCATATATTTTTAATTCACCAAAGGAGGGGAAAATAACTTTAAACATATTTTTATACTAATACTTTCTCTTTAGGAAACATTTTGCCTTTACAAAATGGTAGAAGAATGTAAGTGTATTACGGTGCATTTTAGTTCTGGAAAGGGCTCTCCAGTGCAGAAAGATAATTTTAAATGATATTTAAGTTGTCATGTTTGATCTCCTTAACAGAAAATCTTTTTGATTACACTGGAAATTCCTCATGCACAGATAAGTTGTGAGCACAATAACAACAACAAATCATATTTCAAATGATTTTTTAAACTTAACTTTTCTTATAGTTCAGTTGGCAAGGGTTCATTTTATAATATATTTTTGAAATTAAAAAGAACTCACTGTTTAAGTTTCTAAAACAATTGGAGATGATTGCTTCATGGAACTGCTGAATTGCCTCAAATTGAAGCAAAAGCTGAAAATAAAATGGAAGCCTTCCATTATCTGAAACTTAGAGAGTTTCAATATTTAAAATATTATCTCTCAATAAACACATATCCTCTCAATTAACACATGCGTGAAATTAATTATATATATATATATATATATATATATATATATATATATATATATATATATATAATATGACTATGGAATAGGAAAATGTGTCTACTCTAAAGTAAGTTGAATATATACAACAAATTTAAATGTAAAATATCTCCACACAATGCTATTGTCATAAAGGAATTTCTATTGATCTGCTTAAAATGAATGAGTCTGTTCTATCTTGTATGATGAACAGATACTTTCTTAATTCACAGTGTTACACTATGTTAAAAGAAAACAGAAACTAATATAGATTACTTTTTAGATACTGGTCACTTAAATTATTTAATAAAGTATCTATATGCAAATTTATCACCATTTAGTTTTTATTTGTATACTTGAGAATATACTACAGCATTTTCTTATTCAATAATAAACCTTGGCATTATAAATAAATGATATTCCCATGTAATTTCCCTCAGGTAACATGGCAAGGCATATAC